TAGATAATCTAGAGTATCTAGGTCCTAATTCTAATCCGTTAGGGTAATTAGCCTTACCGCTAAGTCTAGCTCAACGTAAATTACGTACTAAACGTAAATCTGTACTACTTGCTATATATATTATATATATATATATATATGATTACTACTGCCTACAGGTTCTTATATATAGCGGAAGCATAAATTTAATATAGCGAGAGGCCTCTTAGGGTTAACCCTTAAGTCTAGGCCTTAACATACTTCTTAGCGTTATATGAAGAATTTTTAAATAATACTAACAACACTTCCTCTATACAAACAAATATACAAACATTATATATATATACGTGGTCGTAGTATATAGTATAACGTACTACCGATAGATAGATAGTAAGATTGAAGTAGCTAGGGCGATAGATACAGCGAAGTATTACGAGATATACATAGCGACGTATTACTAAATAGACGCGAGATTAGCTAATAGGGAGGGTTGATTGTATTAAGAAAATTCTTCGTAAGCGGAGACGTATGCTAAGGCCTTATTGCCTAAGGCATTTAGGGTTAATCCTAAGAGGCCTCCCGCTATACAAAAAAAAGCTTCCTACTATATATAAAACCCCTGCCTATATACACTCTATTAGGTACTATCTAACTATTAATATCTAGCTACTATACTATAGTGTCTTTAAAGGCCTTCTTAATACCTCTTGCCTTGAACCTAGATTCCTATATCTGTCTAATATTAGCTAAGCGACGCTTATAGTCCTTCTTAACAGTATCTTATATCTGTCGTTATAGTATATCTAGTTCAGTCTCTTCTCTCTATATAGTAGCTTGCCTTACGTCCTTTGTATATATTTATACCTCCTATCTAAAGGCAACGTCGCTTCCCTGCTTTTATAAGTAAGTTGCTTAGATATTAGTACCTTTAAAGATTAGAGCAAATTAACGCTTTAATAGCGATAGTATATCTACTACTATAGTAGTATCAATCTGTCGTCTAAGCGTACGATAAGTATATAGAGTAGTAAGTATCTTAGTCCGTTGTATAAGTAGTATAGCAGGTCGATTCCTACTTACTCTTTCTACTACTACTTATAGATGTAAAGGGCTAAGTACCTCCTCGGGCTTAATAGGCTCTAATCTAGTCTTCTTCTAGTATACGTACTCTAAAGGCCTCAATGTTACTAAGGAATACTAAGCGATTATAATCGCTTATACCTATTCTAGCTACCTTATCTACTACTTTACTATAATAATGCTTATATAGTTAGAATACTATAATATCTAATAGTTGTAGTATATATATTATATACAATAGGAAGGCAAATAGGACAATACTATACCTATTATAGTACTTAAGTACTTAATCTAAGTAAGGCCTAGTTAATTATTAGTATATCCAGATTTAGATATACTAACTAATATATTATTATCTAGATTACTTATACTAGTATAATTAGTATACTTTACTAATAAGGATAAGTATTAGAGGTATCTTCAAGCTACCTACTAAGATATACTTCTAATTTAAGCTATTAGTAAGGTAAAGTATATACTTCGGATTCTTAGTAAGTATTTACTTCGCTCTAGTAATACTAACTTAGAAGCTAGACTTATCTATATTCTATGTATTACTTAGGTATATACTATAGTTACTAAGTATATCTATATACGTAGTATTCCACTTTACTAATTTATTAAATTCCTCTATAACAGTATACTTAATTTCCTATAGTTGTTACTTTATCTTAATCTATATAGGATACCTGTCTTTCTATCGCTCTGCCTAGTATATACTAATAGTATGTAGTAGTATATATAGATTAGTATATATATTCCGTAGGATAGTATTTGTAGCTAAAGCAACTGTCTCAAGCTATATACTTATTCTAATAGTATTTAGAAGTCGTAGATACTATTAAATACCCCCCTCTTGTACGCGTAGTAACTTAAAATTGCATCTATAGATTCGATAGTATAAGCAACTTTATCGTATATCTAGATAATTAGGTAATTGTATATATTGGATCCTCCTTAGAGCGATACTCTATTGCCTCCGCAATATAGTCTTCAATCTAATTAGTACGGAACGACCTCCAAACCTTCCGAAGCGCAGCGTAGGTCAGGTGTAGGGGGGAGTAGAGTACCAATCAATTAGCAAAAAATGTATATATATAGCTGTATATAGCTGGAAATTCCAGAAAGCGCATGCTCTAATTGGCGCGATCCTTTGGGGTAGGGCGCGCTAAATCCACTAGGCCCAATGCGTTACTACCTCAAAAAAGCCCGCCGTAGGCGGGCAGACTGCCTACCTACCTGTCCCTACGGGCTACCTTGCCTAAAATTCAGAAGAGAAGGACAAAAAGAAGAGAAGAACCAAAGAGAAGAGAAGGACGAGGACGAGGACGAGGAGATAGAGATAGAGATAGAGATAGAGATGCGCGCGCTGTACGCGCGCGAAAATTGAGATTAGCACCTATAGCACACACTCCGTACTACCAACGGGCAGGCCCGTAGGACATATTAGTAGGTAGATATAATTCTAACGGTTATATTACGAGAAAACACGAAAAGCATATTGATAATAAGTAGTATACATTTACGTTCAGCACGTGATTTATGTTAAGCCGGTTAACACCGCCTTAGCGGTAGTCTTTACAATACGAGTAGTTTGTCTAGGATATCGCTGCCTCTTCGTACTAGAGACTAAGAGCAGTAGCGAACTAAGATAGACCTGTCTCTTTTGACCTCTATCTAATAGGGAATTACTACTAATAGATTACTATTATCGTATAAGGCATAGTTGTCTTAATCCTCTATCTCTTCTTCTTGCTCTCTAAAGAATTAGATTAGAATAGCTAGGAGCTTAGGATCGACCTCTAGTAGCGCCTTTATTATATTACTTAGTATACTAGAACTCCTATATAATAGGTACAATATCGAGGGTTTCGAGAGTAAGAGGTTCTAGGTTAGTATACAAACCTGAATATATTGTCGATGTCTATCCTCTAAGAATTATTATTATTATTATCGAATATAGGCTTTTCAGTACACGGCACCTAGTCGGCTTAGTTTCAATCTCGATCTTATATAAAGTAGGCTAATAGGTATACAGCGACTTATTATACTTAGTAGTGTTAATATAGTAGGTAGTAGACAATATACTTAAGGAAACGATATAAGATATAGTCGTAGGTTGCGTATATATAGAATATACTAGTAGGATAACGCAATATAAAATTTGTATTGTCTGCTCTTCTACCTCTCACTTTCTTAGCTTAAATAGGTATATCTTACGCTAGTACTTACCTTTAGTATTTTAATATCATTTATCGGATTATCGCTATAGTACCTAAGAAGCCTAGTACTAGTACAGCTATCTACTTATAGCTGTAGTAGTAGCTATAACTTCAATTATAATCGCGGTCGCGGAAATTCTACTAATTCTCTTAAAAGCGGCGGCGCCGGCCCTTCTATACTACGCAGTAGTAGTAGTAGACATAGTATCGGTCTAGGCTAAGGTATAGAAGAAGATCCTTAGTTCGGCCGAGATGAATCGGTATCTAGCGATTAGTACCTAGACGCCTTAGGTTAGTACTAAGAGCCGGGTTAGTAGTAAGAGTTTAAACATTAAGAGGAAGACTTAGATTAATAGGCTCGTATATATAAGTTTAGCTAGTAGGCGTCCTTAGAGTACTAGCGCCTACGCCTACTAAGTCCTACTACTATGAAGACTATAGGAATCGTCGTAGCCTTAGTTATAGCCTTAGTCGTAGTTATAGTTGTAGTTCCTTGACCTAGTATTATTTACTATAACCGACTAAGCTCTATTAACTCCTATTAGCTAGTATATAGGTCTTGCTAGAGGTCTCAGCAATATACGCCTGTTACTCTAACTAAGCAAGTCTTACTCTATATTAGCGTCGCTAGGTAACTATACTATATATTCGTTAGTAGCATACTACGAGTAGTACTTTCCCTACTATTACCGGTTCTAGTATCTATATACTCTATCCCTAATAGAGTTAGCTTAGTTAGTAATATAATTAGTAGTAGTTTGGCAGTACTTTAGTAGTATTCTATAGTCTACTTTGATATTAAGTCTATGTAGTTATTACTTTTCCTAGACATTTTTGGAAGTTCAGCAAAACATTCTAAAGAAGTTTTCAGAGAAGTTTCTAGGGAAGTTTCTAGAGAAGTTTCAGAGAAGTCTCAGAGAAGTTTTAGAGAAGTTTCAGAGAAGTTTCTAGAGAGTTCTCTAGAAATCTATAACTGCAGTTTTTATAACTTCCATAGGCTATATACTCTACTTAATAAGCTATTGTAGAACTTCTCTAGAGAGACACTTACCGAATCTTTAGATACAATGTCTTTATAAAGTTGGGATCCTATAACACCTAAAAATGACTGCTTAGACAGTCTATGGATTGAACACTTTAATTAACATTAAAAACCTAATATAACTATCTTGACGAATTCTAACAACATATATAATAGTATGTTCTAATTATAGTATAGACTCTTTCCCCAAACTGTCCTAGTTGTACATATATCAGTAGCCTAGCTTTATTGCTATCTATTGATTTAGTTAAACTACATAGTCTACTATCCTACTATTACTATAGTAATTGTATCCCGTAGCTATATACTACAGACTCCCTTATCTTTGTCGAGGTTATATCTATTTCTACAGCCTTGCAACTGTTCTGTAACCGAGCTTCTAAGCGTACTAAATGATGTGTGTGTGTGTGTGTGTGTGTGTGTGTGTGTGTGTGTTATAGTTAGAGGGCTTTTACTTTAGTCTATAGCTTTATTCTAATATGGAACTCTACTAAGTCGATATAGACTCCTAGAGAAGCGGGGGTAGGCTTAATGATAGTAAGCAGTAAACCTATATCAAATATATTTTTATAGAGATGTTGATAATTGAGTACAGGTATACTAGCTAGCTATATAGATACCTTCTGCCGATCGTATAGCCAGCCAGCAACCACTAGCATCCTCACGATGAAAGTAGCTCAAACCACAGTCTCTGAATTGAGATCGAACATATAAGGGGTAGTCTCTTTGAATGTCTGCCTCTCCTCTAGCTTCTCGCAGTACTTCTTCAGCTCGGGATACAGCTCTGCAACCGGTCTGGTCTTGATGAATTCAATTTGGGTTACGGTACAGACGACCGCGATATCCGCAATCGTCAACACATTTCCCAGCAAGTAGTCTTGACCAGTCGGGCGTTCCTGCGCCAGCTTCGACAGTGCTTTCAATCCACCGTCAATCTTGCGGTTCTGTCGGGCGAGCCACAACTCGGACTGCTTGGATTGATCCCGCATGCCCTCAAAGGCAGCCAGCACAAAGGCATCCAGGATGCCTTCGGAAAGCGTCAGGATTTGTCGAGCTTTCAGGTCGGTATCCAGGTCGCCAGTCAGGAGTGAGGGCGCTTTGTCTGCATACTTCTGGACAATGTACTCCTGAATATGAGCACTATCGTACACCGGGTCTCGGCCATCGTCAAAGAGGAGGATGGGCAGCTTCTCCAGGGGATTGTACTTGGGCGTTTCCGTCTCGTTCACATGCCATGGAATCTCGTTGCGAATGTTGAAAGGAATGCCCTTCTCCATCAAGGCTATTCGGTTCATGCGCGCGAAGGGCGATGGTGTCGCTGAGATCAAAGTGATTCCGGCCATTCTTGTGTTTGTCGTTGGAATAGTGGATCTCGAGAGATGCTGCTGCAGTTGTTTTGTTCGTTGCATAATCTCTTATCTCGTAATACAATAACCATTTCCCTTATCTATACTCCGCTATGGAATTGGTTACGTTTGTATATATAGCCTTGTCTGTATAGCTTGTCGTATACGTCACTGGATATGTACTTTAGGTACATGTACCTCCTATACAAGCTTAGAAGCTTGATTAAGCTCGAGTCGGCAGTCATGTAAACCAACAACCTACAATAATGTACTTCAGTACAAGGTGCGGTGCATGCCGCCATTTCAACATATCTCCGCGGTAGTGCAGTGAGGCTAAAGTACAGCAGAAGAAGTGCGGTATCTGGTGCAGGTAACTGGAGTGTGCGAATTCAAGTTGCTTGTGTCCCATCGGATCGGGGCAGAAACCGCACCTGGACACCCGTCAGCATAGCCATAAAGTAGTACGTGATGTTTTCATCCAAAGGCACGTCGACCTCCACATGGAAGTTTTGGAACAGCGTCGGTACAACTTTGTACAGGATCAACTGCGCAAGATTACGTCCCGGACACGTTCTGGCACCACCGCCCCAGGTCAAATTGTATCGTTCCATATCTCTGGTGTTGTTGTTGTTGTTCTTGTTGTCGTCGTCTTCTGGAAGCCATCGCTGCGGTCGATATTCCTCGGCATCATCTCCAAATATTTCCCAATTACGGTGCAGAGATACTGGATTGCAACCCACTCGAGTACCTTGCGGGATGTAGGTGTCATGGACGTAGAGTCCGCCGGACGGTACCGCCCTGGATGGGCTCATACCCAGAACAGGATACAGGCGCTGCGCTTCTTTGATAGCAGCTTGCGTGTATGACAAGCCAGCAGCATGAGCATATGGAAGAATCATGGTGTTGCCATGCGAGGTAGGACGAGGCAACTCCGCCCGCACGCGATCTCGAGCGCCGGGACGAGATGCAATCATGGAGACGGCAGAGATCAGTGCAGACGTTGTCGTCTCATGACCAGCACCAAAGTTTGTCATGGCCATCCGCTTTAAATATGTCAGACTGAACTCGGGCTTGTCCATATGCAATTGGATCAAGTCGGCCATCAGATCAGTCCGGTCATCTCTCTGTGGCTTCGGGCGAAGTGCTGCTGTGATTCGCTTGGTGATCTTCGAGTAGACTGATGTGAAAAAGGGCCTGAACGGGGCTGGAGTGCGAAAGGTCAGTCGCCAGACGCTGGAAAAGCATCTCCCAGAAGCTTTGAAGTGGCTCTCCGCAAGGACAGCCCAAGTGAAGAGGCCAAACACACTTTTCCGTCGCCAGTTCAAATACGCGTGGCTGGAGCTGCCGTAGTCACTCTTAGCTTTGAGATAGCCCGGTGAATAAGACAGCACCGCGGCAGAAAGACATTCTACAGTAATAATATGCATCCACATTTTGAGGTCCACGGGGGCACTGTGCAGGCCCTGGAGCTGAGCCACGACTTTGATCAGGACATCATCAATAGCAGCTTCATATTTTTGTATGTTATGCATTGAGTAGAGCGGTCCAATCGTTCTTCGTTGCAGCCTGTATCGTTCCATATCCCTCTCGGAGAGCAGATCGAGACTGTCTGGGAACCGGAGATTCCACCATCTGTCAAACTTGGGACGATTGAGAGCAGTCGCTACTGCTCATGGTCAGTACATATACAGGAGCTGTTTAGCGATCTTTGCGCCGCACTTACAGTAAAAGTCCGACTTCTCGTAGCCCTGTGTAGCACCTGGCCGGGAGTAAGCACGTGCACAACAGGCCATCGACATCTTCTTCCTTTTTCCTCTTCCTCCTCTTCCTCCTCTTCCTCTTCTTCTTCTTCTTCTTTCTCTTCTTCCTCTCCCCTACACCCACGCCACTCACTGTAGATTTTGGAAAAGGCCTCCTTGCTATTGAACCATACCTCATTGGGTCCGACTCGAACCATGGGTCCATAGATCTGGTGGAGGGTCTTTCCCAGGTGCAACATGCGGCCGTTACGAGCATGATACGCATACCATACATTGGAAATGGCCGCGAGCTTCGGACCCGGGATATTGGCTAAGGGATGGAGAAAGAGTCGGTACAGGACGATGGAAGTGACCAGGCTGATCAGAAGCGCGCAGAGTCGCCGCGCGACGCTGACTATGAGGGCCAGCATCGTGAAGGAGACCAATGTCCATGTTGGTTTGCCGTCCGCGTTCATCATGTCGTGACGAGCAGAGTCGCGTTCCAAATATCAAAGGTGGATTGCAATACCGGACATCTGCCGCCTTCGCCTCCGGGCCTTGGCGACATGGCATCCTGCAACTACATCTCGATGTGGATCAGGTACATACATTTTCACGCGGTGCCGGATCTTTGCCCCATGTACAAATGTATCAGCAACAGATGTCATGAGAAGTCGGATGGGACACCAACGACGACAGCAATGACATGTGGGAAGCAAAGTGGTCTCTATTACGCCTTCTCGGGAAAACATTATGGAAACTAATATATGTGCAATTGCCTCTGTCAGTCCGTCACGCGCTCATCACTGCAGCATTCTGAGGGCACCTCCCGAGTCATGCTATGTGTAGTGCTGGGCCCACCAGCGCACTCCATTATCGAGGTTCGCTCACCATGCTCATTGAAGGAACAGGTTGATGAGCGCACACTGCTGGGTGGTGTCGATGTTTTGTGTCTGCAGGATCATGCCATCAGTATCAAAGGGTTTCAATTGGAAGCAGAGGGCAGTGCGGTTGTGAACTCACATCATCAATGAGTGGGCAGCAGTACGTGGCACCAGCAGGGCAACCGCTGATAGGGTCAGTGACTGAGCAAGATGCGCCCGGGACAAAGAGATTGTCGTCCGCCGTAGTGGGTGGAGTGCAGCATGATGGGATGTTGCTGGCGCCGCAAATCTCGGCATCGGTCAAGACACCATCTCCGTTCTCGTCACCTCCGTTGTCATCAGGTCCCTCTGGGTTGGGAATAATGCCGCCGTCAATGGGGCTACCATCACAGCCCTCGCACGGCACTTCCCCTCCGTCGCATGGGTTCTCGGAGGAGCCACAGCCAGGATCATCAGTGGGGGTGGTGGTGGGAGCACTGCTGGTGGAGGTGCTCGTGAAGGTTACCGGGTCACTGATGGTGAAGGTGCTCGTGAAGTTCGATGGGACACTGAAGGTGAGGGAGCCGGTCAATGTCAACGGGTCACGGATGGTCGAAGTGGTCGATGGAACAGAAGTGGATGTGAAGATGGGAGGTGTCGGTCCCAAGGTTGGCGTCGGGATTCCTGATGGCAAGGTGCTATTGTTGCCCGATGGGTAGAGGGGACTTGACGATGGGTAGGTAGGCTTCACCGAGGGATACAAGGGACTTGGTGTCGGGTAGGTAGGCTTGACTGGGTGGCTGGAGTATATTGGCTTGGAGGAGTAGTACCCGGCAGTAGAAGAAGACGATCCACCATACTCGGCAGAGGAGTGTCCGCCATATCCGCCGGTAGCGGAGGAGTGGCCCGGATAAACGCTCGCAGAGGAGTAGCCGCCAGCAGAGGAAGAGTAGCCGGGATGGGCGGTGGCAGAGGAGTAGCCAGCAGCAGAAGAGTAACCTTCCGCAGCCGAGGTATAGTGGCTCGGAGCAGGGTAGGTGGCAGAAGGGTACTCGCCCTCGCCCTCTCCCTCTCCCTCCTCCTCCCACTCCTCGGTGCAATCGTCCTCCTCTGCGTCGTCATACTCGGGCGCAGGAGGCGGATACGAAGGCGGGTCAACGGGCGTGGAGTAGACGGGCGCTGGGGGAGAGTAAGTGCTGACAGCGGAGAAGGTGGGCTTGGACTCTTCCTCGGTGCAGGTGGTGCTGGTGGTCTCGGCTGGGGAGCCGTAATTGGGCAGAGCAAGGGCACCGGAAGCCAGAGCGGCGATGAGAGAAGGGCTGAAGTACATGGCGAGCGAGGCGGCGGTGGTGGTGGTGGTGGTGGTGGTATCAAGCAGATCAAACGAATGTGGGGTGCTAACGAAGGTGAGGGTGCGGGAGGAAGAGACAGACGGGCAAACAGCGACAGACTCTTCTGGCGGAAGCGGACGCTGATGAGAGGAGGAGAGTGAGTGGGAGGGAAGGAGGGAGGAGAGAGACAGCGAGGACAGGAGTGGGCTGCTTCATATACCACCACGACGGAGCGACAGGACACTGGCACTGACACTGACACTGACACTGTAGGAATCGCGTCGCCTCGTGGGAGATTGGACGCCCCTCGGCCCAGTGGTTTGCATGGTCGACGACGTTGGAGACTCATCAGGCGGCGAGTGGTATGGGACAGACGTTTGGGTGGCGATCGGGAGGGTGAGAGTGAGAGGAGGAGTGAGAGGATGGAGGATGGAGAGTGAGAGGAAAGTGGAGTGGGAGAGTGGAAGGGAAGGATGGAATGTTCGGGACGCGTCAAACTCGGCCATTCACAGGCTCGCGGGACCTGCATCGACGGGGCGCGCAGCAACGTGCGTGGCGGGATGAGGAAGTGCTTGGCGGTGATCGTGGAATAAGCGTGATGAGGGTGAGGAGGGTGTGTGTGCCATACCGTGGTACTGTCCTCGCTGCTGGATCCACTTCATGTTTCTTGCCATGCTCCTGAAGGCAGCAGGAGAGAGAGAGGGAGAAAAGATGCCCACAAATGTGCTGTATCTATCTCTTACAGTGTTGGTAATAGAACTAAGGTACCTGTACCTAGGGACACACATGATACCTGAGGTTGTAGGTACTAGGTATACCTGAGGTTGTAGGTATGTCGCGCAAGTTCGGGGAGGTGGGTGGTCATGTAAACGCCAAGCCAAGCCCACGGCGGAAATTGGACCTCTCGTGTCTCGCTCTCGACACTTGACGGGGACGGGCTCTCCGGCGGTCGGCTCGGCTCTACTTCCACCCGGTGGGTCGCCATCTCCCACTTTCCATTCTTTCGCATCAGCAGAAACGGCGCAGAGCAGAATCAGTGGGCGAGCAGACGCCATTGTCTACGCTTCCACGGCCACGACGTCTACTGGCCTCCCACTGTACGCCTAATTTCCCCTGCACCCCCCCCCCCCCCTTCCACTGTGGGTGTGCAGATGTCGGCATGTGTCTTCACAAGCATTGGAGAACGCTGGAACCTTCCCGTCGTCGGGACGACTTCATAGGTCTGATGACCTGAGTCGAGCACTCTCCGTCACCTTTCGCGAGGCAGTGGAGTGCGTGCGGTAGCCGCGCTATCCACGTGCTCGACTATCCCCGCTTCAGTCGTTGCCATCTTTCTCGCTGAGACCTGCCAGAAGCCGTCGTAGATGGACATCCCGAACGAGCTTCAGTCCTCATCATCGCTTGAACTATCCTCGTCCCTCCTCTTCCTCTTCCTCGTTTCATCCAAAGCAGAAACCTCTCCCATCCTGACCCTCCTCTGTCTCTCCATCTCTTTCTGCATTTCCTTCTGCGTCTTCTCTTTCCCATCCCTGCCTTGAGTCTGCATTTGTCCTTGTTGTCCCTTGATCCCGAAAACATAACTCCTCGCCTCCCTCTCCTCTCCCTTCCACCCACCTCCTCCCTCAATGTTGCCCAACGTCCGAACATGTTGATATCCCGGATACGCTGCGGCGAAAAACTTGAAGCTCGTCATAACTTCGAGCCCAGCATGTCTTGCCAGGTCTCTCACGTTCCACAGCGTATATGGCTCGCCTTCAAACAAGGTAACGACGACTTTTGCCTCGTGCGAAAGGAGCATCTGGCAGCTTTGGAAGAATTCGACGAGAAGTTCTTGGTTGAAGCGCACTTGTCTATTCACGTCGGTCGATTTCCCGCCGACGTGGGGAAAGTTGAAGAGAATGACATTGAATCTCCCTCCTGTCGCGACTGCTTTGGCCAGCGATTTGTTCTTGTCCAGCTTAGTGGCGTCGACGTTGTAGACGACATGTTGTCCTTCTTCGTCAAGATATCGCACGTGCTCTTCTACTTGCGGCTTGTATTTCTCAAACAGGACGTCTTGCGAGACGTAGCATGTCGCCGTGACGTCGTAGCAGCCGTGTTCTTGGACGATGCTCTTGGCAAAAGAGAAATCGCCCTCGCCGATGAGGAGGATGCGGTCCGAGTCTAGAAAGGGTATATGGCTTTTCGGATGCTGCACTTTCGCTGATTTGGATGATGGCTGCTGCTGCTGTCTCGACGCAGATTTGGATTTGATTGCGTCTTTTCGCAGTGGCGGTCTCGTGGGCTTTCGATTTTCGGCGTGGTTGCTATGGACCTTGCGTTTCTTGCTGCTTTTTGCCATGACAAGAGGCGCAATGATGAGAAGCAGAAGCCGACATGTGGGATCACGAGAATGTGCATGTGATATCTAGGTACGTCGGCAACTGCGGACGGAGCTACATGTACCTCCTAGAATGCCGCTTATCGCCCATCATAAGCGAGTCTTGGCAGTGTCAAGTGGTACCTAGATACATATACAGTAGTAACAGTACCAAGGATTCCACGGGCAGAGTCCAGGAGATGGAAACAATGCTCTCCCTCTCCTCCATGTCCCATCAGAGTCGTCTCGTGGCGCAGACCATCTCCTTGTAAGCAAGCACATGCTACATGGAGCCCGCCTCCCACTAATTATATCTTACCTCCTATGCCCCAAAAGACTCTGCGGCTGGGTCTATGTCAGCCTGTGGACCATATCCTACTATCCCCAGCCTCTGCTCAACCGACAGCGCCAATCTACAGAAGGCTACGCCTTTGACTACCCTATTCTCAACGTCTTTGGCTCGCTCTGCTACACTACAGGCACCACTCTGCTCTATTATTCCCCACTCGTCCGACGCGAGTATGCGTTGCGCCATCCAGCTAATCCAGAACCCACCGTTCGCTTCAACGACGTCGTATATGGCCTGCACTCTGTTGCTGTCACCGCAACCACCCTCTCGCAGTTTTGGCCCAGCCTGTGGGGATGGAGTAAGCCTGCTCTCAGAAAGCCCAGCAAAGTGACCATTTCGATCGTGGCGGCAGGCTTCATCTGCCTGCTGATTGCGATATCCATAGCATTCATGCAGGAAACATTTCACAGGCATGAACTTGTTCGTGCCTCTTTCATCTGGCTTGACGTGGTACATACCTGACATTCTCCTTCCACTGACCATGGCACGCATCAGAACTCCAAATAACGGCTGGAACAGGTCTACACGCTCACATACATCAAACTCGCCATCACATTAGGGAAATACATGCCGCAAATCTCGATGAATTACCGTCGACAAAGCACTTCGGGCTTCGCCATCACCGGCGTTACTCAGGACTTCGTAGGAGGTCTTCTCTCACTTGCGCAATTGCTCATTGACTCGAGTTTACAAGCTGATTGGACCGGATTGACGGGCAATCCGATCAAGTTGGGGCTTGCCAACGTGAGTATGGTCGCTGATGTGGTCTTCATGGTACAGCATTACGTGCTGTATGGGGACATGGGAGGTGGAGGGGGACACACGGTTGAGGAGCAGGAGGATGTGGAGAGAGAACGAGAGCCATTGCTGGGGTGAGGTAAGGTATCTAGGTTGTACCTCCTACCTCCTAGTACATGTACCTCCTAGGAGGTCGGAGGTAGTGAGGAGACATGTTGCAGGTCGACGACGGTACATTGATGCCGCGAGTCATCTATTGAGACTACCTAACTGTGTAACTGGAGAGGCAGATATCTTGGCGCCGGAATGTGGCGACGAAGCTCGACAAATGTATGCAACGAAAGCCAAGAGAATTACAGGTACCTACACCATGTACCTGCGCGCAGCTGGTGATGCTACACACAGCTACCTTAGGTATGATTACACATCGCAATGCTGGCGACATTTGTCGCTTCAAGAAATCATTTTCCGCTACCGCAAAACAAAAGCACGGCCACCCGCAATAGATGCGCCATTCCGTGAAAGTGAGTAAGTGACGTCAAGATATCTGATCAGCAAAAAGTACATCTACATGTACCTGACATGAGCTGTTTTGTATGACCGAAGATGACATGCAGAATCAGGCAATACTACATATATCAATCACATACATGTACTCCTCGTATGTGTTGCTTTCACCATTCTCACGATCCATCAACACCATTCCAGTAGACCACTTTCATCATATCAACAACAAAAGAAGCCTACCTTATCATGGCTGCCAAGCAAACGGTCGTGATCATAGGCAACGGCTGGGGAGGTTTCACCGTCGCTCACGGCCTCCTCACATCCAAATACAATATAGCAGTCATCGCACCCATTCGAACCATCCAGTACACTCCCCTCCTCGCCAGTGCAGCAGCTGCGCATTTCGATTTCCGTCTCGCAGAAGAACCGGTGCGAAGAAGAAACCGGATGCCAGAACTCCGCTACCATAAAGCCAATGTAGAAGACATTGACTTTGACAAACGACTGGTATATTGTCGACCTGCAATTGCCAATATCGCAGGAAACGATTTCAGCAACAAAGATAAAAGTTGTTTCACTGTCAATTATGACAAACTGGTCATCGCACCGGGCTGCATCAATCAGACGTTCGGTACACCAGGAGCGTTGGAACATGCGAATTTCCTCCGAACCACGAATGACGCGCGCCTGATCCAACAGCGGATACTCGAAATGTTAGATGCGGCTTCCGTGCCCGGATTGACAGATGCTCAACAGCGGGACATCCTGCGCATCATTATTGTGGGAGGAGGTCCGATCGGGATTGAAGCCGCGGCGGAGCTGTTCGATCTATGGAATGACGACATGAAGTATTTGTATGCGCATTTGCAAGGGAAATTCAGTATTGAAATCCACGATGTTGCGGAGAAACTGTTGGGGAGTTTTGAGGGGAAACTGGGAGAGTACGCCGAGGATAAGTTGAAGAAGAGGGGAATTGAGATTCAGACCGAGAGCCATATTGAAAAGGTCGAGGCGGACGCCATCTATACAAAGGAGCTGGGCCAGATTCGGTATGGGTTGTTGTTGTGGGCCACGGGAAATGGAGCGAACCCGCTCGTGGAGAAGTTGGAATCTGTCAAGAAGACTGACAAGTTGCCGAGGATACTTACAGATAAGAGGTTAAGGGTGTTGCAGAAGGAGAATGACCAGGTCATGGAGAACGTGTTTGCCCTGGGGGATTCGGCGGATATCGATGGGAACTTCCTTCCCATGTTGGCAGAGGTTGCAGTACAAAAGGCCGAGTGGTTAACGAAGGCTCTCAACGACGATGGGGGTGAGTCCCCGAAGCCATTCGAATACAAGCAAAAGGCGAGTCTGGCATATCTCGGAGGACAGGACGGAGTTGCCGATGGAGAGTGGACGGGACAGTCTGCATGGCTCGCATGGAGAAGCGGGAGCATTTGGCATTGGCCGCGGAGTTGGAGACGAACGCTGATGATCGGCATCAGCTGGATTTTCAATGTGGTCGGAGGTCGGGACATTGCCAGGAAGTGGTAGATTCCTCGGGTACCTACCTTACCTATGTAGGAGGTAGTATGGGGTGAGAACGGTACATGAACTGTACCAATGTATAGGTAGAATGTATACATACCTATGTACCTCCTTAGGGGCGGGAGGAGATCGTCTCTGCCTCCGCCGTTTTGCTTACTCATTCCGTGGCACTAGTGCTGGCGGACTCTTGGCGCGCTTCCACCCTCATCTCACTTCACTTCACTCCACACCACTTCACCTACCTCACCCCCATCTCTTTCTTGATGTTACCGTATTTGGCCGATCACTTCACTTGTCACCCACACCCATCCAATGACAGTACATGTATCACTTCACGCATCAATCGACTTGAAACGGCAGACTGTAACGTTCTTCGCCACCGCCCGCCCTCTGTCTATGAGACGGTATCAATATCGCTACAACTGTGGCTCGGACACCAAATTCAATAAGCCAGACGACTTATTCTCTAGCAAACTTGGACCACGCTCTGACCCTGGATCCGTACTTGATCAAAACTATGGGAAACGGCGCCAGCATGACGCATATCAGCCCCAGCATAATGCCTGACCACCGCACGCCCATGCTGCTGAACATTTCTGTGCTCAGGACGGGAAATGCCGCTGCCACGATACTTCTCAGGAGGACATTGATGGCCAGTGCACTGTTGGCATCGTACAGGTAGACCTCGATGATGTATAAATTGGAGCACATAAAGACGAGTACGATACCACACCCGATTGGCGCTCCTGATAGGACCTGGGGGATCCACGAGACGCTGGTGTTGGATGTCAATGCAAAGGTGAAGAGACCTGCGAATAACATCAGCTTCTTGCCCGCGCAGTGATAGTCTAGCTTCGCACGAGACACACCTGCAGGCAGCAGAATTGCTCCCAGAATGACTGGCAGTAGCCGATCCTCCGGCGCCATGACCGCGCCCGCTTGGAGACGCTTGCCGTGCCAGACGCTGTGCGCGCCAATGATCACGCACGCCACCATGATTCCCAGCAAGACCCCGAGAAATGGCAGGCTTGCTACAAGAGGCGCCCATCCACGCGTGATGTGGAACGCAAAGGGGTACAGCGTAAGCGAAAGATACAGGATGCCGTACACCAAGCTCATGTACAGCGTGAAGATGATCAACTACGGAACGTCAGCCATGCATCAGACAGTCAAGGGGAAATTTATCGCCCGACTCACAATTGGCTCCGAGATGAACATTCTAACAGGCTTCGTGAGGTACTTCTCGACGAAGTATCGCGCGGAGGTCGGTGTCTCTTCGCTCTTGGCGTGTAAGGCCCAGTCAAAGGTCTCGAAGCGCAGCTTCTGCGCCTTCCTCTTCAGCAGCACGGCTTCGGATGTCTCAGGTGTGCACATGAATGCCAGTACAAAGACGAAGAAACCTGCGATCAACGTAATCCAAGCAGTCCACCTCCAGGAGAGGCGCCTGATGATGAGACTGCCGACAATGGGTCCTGTGACTGGACCGCAGTAGACACCGATACTGAATATGGCTGTGGCTAGACCCCGTCCAACAGGGTCGAGGAAGTCGACGTACATGCCACCAGTGATGGCGAGGGGAGCAGATCCAAACATGCCAGCGAAGAAGCGGACGATGAGGACGGTTTCGATATCCTTGGCAACACCGAGTGCGACTTGGAAGATCAGGAAGCCAACATATCCCAGCCAGAGCGGTTGCGTACGCCCATATAGTTCGCTGGCTGGACCGAATATCAATGGCCCACTTGCGAATCCTGCAACCCCCAGGTGATTAGCCACAATGCTACAGGTCTGACGTATGGCACAACACACCGAGGACATATAAGGAGATTCCCAGAGTCGTTATCTTTGCAGTTGTCTCAAACTCATTCCTTGTCTCTTCGATGATGGCGGAGAAGACACTACTCCCAAACGAAACTACGAAGGTCATCAACGTTGTTGTTACAACAATCGACCATTTTCGGGCTATAGACCAATTGCATGGTCTGTCTGGATCCTGTGGACCTGTCCAGTTCACAATAACTGAGCCTGTCGTCGCTGCTGCCTCCAGTTGCTTCGACTGCATAATGTGGGCGTGAAGAATGTGATGGGTGAAGAGGACAAGGTTCCAGTGTTCTGGGAGGTCGGCTGATCTAACGACTTTGTTGTGCCATGGCTAGTGCTTTATGATCCCACCTCCTCCTACATGTGCTTCAAATCAGCTTTCGCACTAGCTGATTCTGGAATAGCTTTTGCTCACAATGATACAACGCCTTCGCAGCTCGGAATGGATAGGACGCATAGGCACGGTCCATGGAAGCTTAGGTCTATGATTTGCTGCAATCCTTGTCTCTCCTAGGGTACTCAGGATGGTTTCATACTCTGATGTGCGAAGAGTCTGTAGTTGTACAGCCTCTCTGCGCTATATCATGCGACAGGAGCCGGGGGAGTCTTGGGCATACAAAGTCAATAATATGCTCTCGTCGCTTCATCGGCGATACCGCACTCACGCGGTGCCCCTGGCCTAGGAGCGACACCTGGCGACTTGCCAAGATTGAGATGCGGAGTTTTCGCCCTCTTAAAGACCGTCCGCATGATGCTGGTTGTCTCGAAAACACACCAGTGATAGTAGACCTGGGAGCCTACAGCCCGCGCCCTACAGGGAGAGGGTCACTGCTATCCATACTGCACACGGGAACGCTGCAGCCTGTACGCCGTATGCTCCTCAACACGAGCTATGCATATTGTGCGACTCGATTGCAACGTACATTCGGGCATCGCGCTCGCTATTGCCGTTGACACGCGTACTATCATTGCGCGCATGCAAATGACACACTTGGGCTACCTTTTTCCGAAAGTTGCGCAGACGGTGGCATGGTGCGAAGGCTACAGGCAGCTATATCCGACCCTGCAATCTTTGGCGAGAGCATGGGTCGACTACTAATCGAAACAAACCTGAGATTGACAGAGATTTTTTCTTCTTTTTTTTTCTTTTTTTCTTTTCTTTTGCGGCATATAGCATCGACGTGGGGCTGGAGGGCATGCATGGCAGATATTCAGCTTCTCCTTAGTATTATTAGACTAAGACCCCCTTCGGCAGTCAGGCATCTCAACACGACAGGGTGCCGCTGCCCTCACTCTATTGATTCCCGGAAACGTAGGTTCGCGCTAACGATCAAGTAGCGCCTCAGCGGCGGTGACCGAAGTCGAAGATTGGTGGCTAGGGATTGCACTCAGCCACAAACTGTTTCCTACTACCTGGCTGCCAACCCCTTGAGCACCCTGAAATCTGTGGCGCACGGCATTGATCTGGCAAGGAAAGTTGAGACATAGCCTGATCTCCTCCTTCTACCTGTACCACCTGTGCCACCACGCGGGATCGCCGCCCTGGGGGCCATGAAAGCCGTGGTATCGCGCCGATGATCTCTTTGACATGCCGAATTCAAGAGCCAGTCGCGCCTAGAGCGGGGTGGACGATGTTTATGCGCGCTATTATTTTTTCCAACAGCGACCATCAGGTACCTGTACTTTCAAGCCTGAGCTGTAGTTGCCGAAATCTAGGTACCTAAGTCTAGGTACCTAAGTAGCGCTATAGCCAGGGCGACGGAGACGGCAACTTGTGCTATAGGGTGATGAGCTAAACCCTTAGAGCATCCGAACACTGGCAGTCGAATTCCGTCGACGATTCTCCGATTACCTGATTATATCGCCCACGTTCTTTTCTGATCCGATGGGCCAACGGCGAAAACTCTGGCCGGACATGCCTGTAGTATTCACCGTCATCATCATCATCATCATCATCATCATCATCATCAAACGTGCTGCTGGTTCGCTCTTCCTAGTAGGGGAGGTGTAGGGGAAAAAAAGGAAAACTCTCATTACATAGTGTGCTATCCCGCAACTCACAGCGAAAAGCCATATTCCATGTTAGTGCGCAAAGGATCCTAGTCGACAAAGGCGCTCGATCCGCCACATGTATATCTCCTAGAAGGCGTTCCCCTGACCGGCCGGGGGGAGGGGGGGAAGGGGGGCTCGGCCGGCCCGTCTCCTACCAGCCATACTACCTACCTACCTACATACAGGCTACCTAGGTACCTACCTACCTACTACAGGCTACCTCGGTACCTACCTACCTACCTACCTACCTACCTACCTGAGACCTGCAAACTACACACCACGATCGACGAACACCACTACCAACCTGACTTGTCTTTTTTTCCTTCCCCCCTTTGTTTCTCCCTTCACCCGTCTTTCCAAGGACCTTGACCAGCGCGGCGCCAATTGTGATGATGGTCTTCACAGAGCGGGGCAGCCGTTCTGAAGGGCCGCGGCAGCAGAGCATTGGTGTGGATACATACTATATACCGACATACACACACTGCTCCGAGCCTCTAGGAACCCAGCCGACTTCCAACCACAGGCTCATCAGTACAGTGGCCGCCCTTGGCCTCGGCGCAAATAAAGAACTACTGTGTACAGGGAGGTAAGTTTTGGTTTCCAGTTGCGCTATGAATTTGGGCAGCAAGCAACAAGTGGACAGTCTATGCCTGATCCCGTCTATACCGACTACTACTACTGCTCCTACCACTCCTACCACTACTACCTATTACTACTACTACTACTACTACTACTACTTACTTCTACGATCGACGAGACCATGTCTTCAGCTGACTTTAGCTAGGCCGGGTCGTAGTCGCCCGCTAAGCAGAAAGGCAAATGGCCAGCAGTATATCGGCAGTGGCGCCGCTTGTCAGTAGTTTCTGTGGTTGTATACAGGCATCAGTTCTCCTGCAGCGCTATGATCTCGTGTCCCCTGTGGCTGTGTGGCAAACCAGCCTGGGGAGGGTCCAGGATATCTCCCACGCCCTCCTATCCCCCCCTAAGTAAGTCAGACACAATCCCTTGTATATTGCTATCATTGAAGCCCGCCATCGTCGGTGATGGGTCTCAGTACACTGCCTTCGCTTATCCGTTGTGATACAAGCTCGACCCACGCCACCCGGTAGGCCAATCTGATTTCGCAGGGCCACGACGTAATTCGCGTACGTCCGTGTGATGCTACTGGGCCACGCCCTACCATCCCTGACCATGTACTTGACGACGGCGACAACGACGAAGACGGCGGCGACGGCGACAACGCCGATGACACCCTCCCTCTGGTCATCGTCTCTATTCACAATCGCCGTAAGCCGAGAGCTTTCGTATCAAGCAGACAGTGGGTCTTACCTAGTAGCGCACAAGTTCAGCTCCTGTTTGATCCACCACGAGCAAAAATTTCCAATCCTGATGGGGGGAGGGGGGAAAGGAGGGGGGGTTGGGCGGCGGTTGGGCGGCGGTAGTAGCAGGTTGTTGCTTCGATGATCGACATTATATAAAGCAGTGCTCTGCTTCAGTGGCAAAGTAGGCTCGTCGTCAATCATTCCTGCATCCCATCTTATCCCCATACTACCGCCACCACCCCTCAGGATGGATCAACTCGATCTCAATGCCTCCGGTGTCATTCTGGCGCCTTTCGAACGCCCACTGCACATCTTTCCCCAACCTGCCTGGAGCACTACGCTGGACTCCATCATGGAGAAGGGACAGAGTCTCATGATGATGATGAGTGTCACCAGCCTTCCACGCCTGCCGCACACTGTGGCCTGGGTGTTTGCACTCGGCTGCGCGTACATCATGGCTCGATTGATATACATTCTGATCATCCGGCCTCGTCTCTCCTCTCTGCGGCACCTCCCCGCCCCTCATCAAGGCCCGGCGGTGTTCCGTCTGCTCCACGAGCCCAGTGTGGTGGAGCTCGAGCACTGGCTAGACACGGTCCCCCACGATGGTTTGATCCGGTATTACGGTCTCTGGAATGAGGAGCGCATCTTTGCCGCCTCTCCCGAAGCAGTGAAACAGCTGCTGGTGACCAAGCCAAATGACTATGTCAAGCCGCGATTGCAGTTCGTCCTGGCGAAGAATATTGCAGCTGAAGGACTGCTGATCCAGGAAGGCCAAGCGCACAAGGGGGCACGCAAGGCGTACAACCCCGCATACAACCCCGAACAGACCCGCAAGTCCTACCAGCCCATGTACCAGGTCGCGGGCCAGATGCTCGAGGCCATCGAACGTCAGACTGAACAAGAAACACCGTTCAAAGCGAAAGGTCTGGCGGGCATTCTCAAGCCAGTGTCTGCAGGCGCCATTGACATTGTCGGCCGTCTTGCCTTTTCCCGAGACTTCAACTCGGTCCAGAACCCCCGCGGCAAAGGTTTCGGCCACGCATATGTCGAGATGTTCAAGACGACGCCTCGCGGTCAGTGGACGCTCGATGCAGCAGCAAAGATTGGTCCCGAGCTGGCCTTGCGACTTCCTCTGCGTGCAGTGAAGACGATCAAGGGAGTCATGGCCTATGTGCGCGAGACTGCGGAAGATATCGTTGCAGAACACGAGGCCCACTTCAAGGCGGACTGCGGTACAGAATCTTCGGGGAACAACAACGACGATACGCTGACCACGCTCATGCGAGCGCACCATTTCGAACACGATCACTTGGTCGATCAAACCGTCCACATTCTGGCAGCAGCTACGGAAACGGTCTCGGGCAGCATTGCGTGGGCCATTCATCTCTTATCCCGTTATCCACACATACAGCAACGCGTGCGCGACGAAATTCGAGCACATCTCCCTGCTCCCGGCAGCGACGATGCTACCACGTTCTCGGAACAGGTCTTTGATACACGTCTGCCCTACTTCAACGCAGTGATCAAAGAAGTGCTTCGTTACCACAGCATCAACACCATTCTCTGGCGAGAAAGTGTGAGCAACACGGCTTCGATTCTGGGACACAGCATGCCCGTCGGCACGAAGATTGTCTACAGCCCATGGGCTTCCAATCGGGATCCACGATACTGGGGAGAGTCGGCGCGCGTGTTTGATCCGGAACGGTGGTTGACCGCCGGAGCGACGAGTTCGACCCCCAACACGTTCTTGACGTTTGGAGCAGGCACACGAAGGTGTGTAGGGGAGCAGTATGCACGAGTACAAATGCGCTGTGTCATTGCTGCTCTAGTGGGCCGGTTTGATTTCCAGCCGCAGGAAGGTCGGATGGAGATGGAGAGCGATGAGGGTCAGGAAATCGGTAGCCAGCATCCGCTGACCCTGTTCAAGATTCTCGAAGGATGGAACTTGAGGGTCACTCGGGTGGAGGGATGGTGATGTGATGCTTGTGATGGTGGTGGTTTTCCGCCGGTGTCTCGGCCGAAGAGCAAACGTAAGAGTCCGAGTGTCTCGAGAGGCTTGGCGGGATGTTGCAGAATGCATGTGATAGCGCACAGACCTCGCCAAACGGCCAGAGGCCCAGAGATAGGTACCTTAAGGAAGAACCTTGGAGGGGGTTCGCGATCTACCTGCTAGTACGAAGTTCGCGTGAGGTGCTGAGGTCGGTGCATGACTGCATAGGTACATGTAGTTGTGCCCTGTAGAGAGAATGATGTGTGTGTGCACAGACCAGCTTAGACGTGCGATCTAGTCTCCCATGTATGCGAACAAGAATGAAACACTCGGTTGCATGCTCACAAGTAGATAAGTGTCACTTGATGCCCGCTAATTCTACAGGGTCTCCAGTCATTAGTGCTCTGCATACAACCATGCCAAGGATTGTTTCGCATTGCGACTGGCTGCTGCCGAAAGTCTCGGTGTCAAGTCCCCTACACACAAGGCCGGTGATGTGTCAGCCGTCGGTCGATCCGTCGTTCAAGGACTAGGTGGAGCAGCAAAGCAACAGGAGAAACAGGTATGGAGCCTCTGATTCCAAGCGGGCTTGATGCTGCGAGGCTCCATACTTGCAGCTCTCTTCCTCTCCAGGTGAGAAGTAGGCTTCTCCACAATTGGACAGGTCGAATCGTAGGAGTGATGTGAGACGGCACCAAAGCTCACGGCCGGCCTCAATGGCCGTCGTAGGGGAATCACTGGATGGTCCTTTGGTGGTGGTGGCGGTGGTGAGAAGGAGGAGGAGGAGGAGGAGGAGGAGGATGGAAATGTAAAGTGTGATGGTGAGCGGATAGGCAGTCGGTTGGTATGGTTTCGGAATCCTTGCGCAGACGTGGGGTGGATGGGGGGAGGAAGTTCTGGGACGTGGAATTCTGATATGTCGATGGAAGTTCGAGCAGCAGATCTGGAGTGGTAGCGGAAGGGCTTCCGTCCTTGTTCTCGTCCTCCTGACTGCCGGGAAGGGCCGAAGAGGGGGAGGGTGGAGGTGGTGGCTGGGGGTGGTGAGTGGGTGTGGTGGAGAGGGGCAAGATGTCCTGGGGCGAAGAGGCTGTGGGAGGCGATGTGGGTTCGAAGCGGGAGAGGGTGAGGGTGGTGGTGGTGTTGTGGTGGTGGTGGTGGTGGTGGTGATGGTTGTTGAAGGTGTTGAAGGTGTTGTTGTGGTTGTTGTAGAAGTTGTTGTTGTTGTTGTTGATGTTGTTGTGGAAGACGCACTTCTCTGGTGTGGTGGGGCTTGACGTGGACGGGGACGGGGATGAGAGAGCGGTCTGTGCCAGGCACGGCATACATGGTGCCCGCGGAAAAGACGATCTGGGACAGAGGTGATCCATGAATGGATTCCAGCAGCTGCGTGCAAGAGCCGGAATGCAGGAGATATATATCTGACTCTCCGAAAGGATGGAGTGTGTGTGTGTGTGTGAGAGGTGGTGGTCACCAGGTGGTAGAGTACCTTTGGTAGGTAAGGGGTACAGGTAGGGAGTGGGAGATAGTGTAGGTACCGAACCTGTACTTCTCATGTCAACTTTGCAGGATACCGGAGAGCGAGAGCAGACGAGGGTCTGATCAGGGACGGGACTTTGTTTGATATATAAGGCACCTTACCTGTTGACCTACCTACCTGTACTGTACGGTACGGTACCTGACTGTACCTGACTGTACCTGTCCTGGGCTATCTCGCCGCCCCGTCCAGACGCCTCAGGTGGTGCACTTCTCGTGGGACTCCCATTCCCTCTGGATACATGTCCATTCTTCCACTACTTTCAATGCGACATGCACCGTCATGGTCATAAATAGCTGGTAGCTATGTACCATGTAGCCAAGTAATGCAGGGAGATGTATCATCAAGACGCCTCCTACCACAGTCGTTGGTCACACTCACTATAGCATGCTGGATATACCTACCTCCTATGTATCCAAAATAATCCAGCCAGCATTCCCGCCCGTTGCGGCCCGAGTACCGCTGGCTCGGTTACTGGGCCAGGGACCCCAGATCCCTGTGCAGTGGCCAATAGCCTCGCCGATTGTCCCACTCCCAAGACTCCCAACCGAGACAATGCCTTCATCTATCCGAAAAGGCACTTCCCCATGCCCTCTTCATCTCTGGAGAGGGTGAGCCTGTGAGGAGCATGATGCATGAAATCTATCTTGTTGTGATTGCGTGGACGCTGTGGAAAGTGTTGACCTCATTTGGCCCCACGCACGCACGCACGCACTCACGCACTCACGCACTCACGCACCCACGCAATTCTTCTCGGAATCGGAGAGCTGGCTGTAATCCAGGTCAGCGGGTCCGGCTCCTAGCTCACAGCTACCGGCTCCCAATGCATCAACACGACGCCTCTATTCTACACCATGGTCCGTGGTTGTGCAATTCCAGGCGCAACAATCTCCATCGTGGCTACCGATGAGCGGCCGAAGACGACTCGTAACTCGTTCACCGAATGGATTGATTGCTGGGACATGGATGCATCGTTCCTAGGTCGCACGCGGATAAAATCAACCATGCCTCGGGGCGGACGGCGTTGACCTGGTCTCCGCGTGTCATGGTGGCGTTGCCGTCGAGCGATTGAATCTGTTGTCTTCGGTAGTGAGGTAGACAACCACCACCGGGCATGATGTACGGAGAGGTCGGTAGGGATCCTTGGTAGGTAGGTGTGTAGATGTGTAGGTACCTGAGGTGTGTAGGGAGGTACAGGTAGGTAAGAGGGAGGGAGTCAGGAGAGACGAGAGGTAATGGAAGGTAATGGAAGGTAATGGGAGGTAGTCGACGACCTGAGGTGGACAACCAGTGCATGTACGAATGAGGCTAGCACAACTCTATCTCTGTCTCTCTCTCTCTCTCTCTACCCTCGGCACTTTCGCCAAGACGGACTACCACCGAATATCCCGAATTGCCAACTTGGACATCCTACATTCACATCCATCCACCCATCCTCCTCCTCCTCCTCCTCCTCCTCCTCCACACGCCCCCCCCCCCCCCCCCCCCCCCCCCCC